CCTCGGCCCCTGAGCCCAGAGCATTGGCCACGCCGCCTGGTGCTCCCTCCCGGCTCAAGTTGCAGGGGCGGGCCCGGCCGGAGGTGGAGTCTCCCGCCAATTGACGCGTCCGCTATAAATTGAGCTCCCGCACGGCCGAAACTCAGATGCCGCGCCAGGCCACCCCGCCAACGTTGGCTGGAGCCGGTGGCGGGGCGCAAGGGGCCCGGGGGGCGGCGGCCACCATGCTCCGCTCCCTGCTGCTTCACTCACTGCGGCTCTGCGCCCAGACGGCCTCGTGCCTCGTGCTCTTCCCGCGCTTCCTCGGCACCGCCTTCGTGCTGTGGCTCCTGGACTTCCTGTGCATCCGCAAGCACTTCCTGGGCCGTCGCCGTCGGGGCCAGCACGAGCCCCAGGTGGAGCTCAACAGCGACGGCGAGGAGGTGCCCCCCGACGACCCGCCCATCTGCGTGTCCGACGACAACCGCCTTTGCACCCTGGCGTCGCTCAAGGCTGTATGGCATGGCCAGAAATTAGATTTCTTCAAGCAGGCCCACGAGGGCGGCCCGGCACCCAACTCCGAGGTGGTCCTGCCCGATGGCTTCCAGAGCCAGCGCATCCTCGACTATGCGCGAGGGAACCGCCCTCTGGTGCTCAATTTCGGCAGCTGCACCTGACCCCCGTTTATGGCGCGAATGAGCGCCTTTCAGCGCCTAGTCACCAAGTACGGGCGCGACGTGGACTTCCTCATCATCTACATCGAGGAAGCGCACCCCTCCGACGGCTGGGTCACCACAGACTCCCCCTACAGCATTCCACAGCACCGAAGCCTGGAGGACCGCGTCAGCGCGGCACGGGTCCTGCAGCAAGGTGCGCCCAGCTGCGCGCTGGTCCTCGACACCATGGCCAACTCCAGCAGCTCGGCCTATGGCGCCTACTTCGAGCGCCTCTATGTCATACAGAATGGCACAGTCATGTTCCAGGGCGGCCGTGGGCCCGACGGCTACCAAGTGGCAGAGTTGCGCACCTGGCTGGAGCGCTATGATGAACAGCTGCACAGTGCTCAGCCCCGTCGCGTGTAAGCAGCTAAGGACAATGGACTGGACTTGGCGGGCTGCGCCTTTGTGTCTGCAGAGCCCACGTGCAAAGCTCCCCAAACGACGCCGAGCTCGGCGAGGCCCCAGTGGCTCGTCAGCAGTGAGCCAAGCATCACCAGCTGAGTCTATGCCCTCAGCCAAGCTCCGGAGACTCTCCCGGCACTCAGCTTCTGGAACTGTCTCTAGCTTTTACCTGCCTGGCTCGCTCTAAATCCACCTCAGAACGTGATTCGGCGCTCCCCCTAGCCTAAGTGCATCAGGACTTGTCCCCACAGAGGCCTCTGCGCGCTCTCTCGCACCCCCTCCCCAGGGAGAAGAGTCAAAGCGCCTTCCTGCAGAAGCGGTGGCCAGCGCCTCTCAGCGCAAAGAATTTGGCGCCATGCGCCCTGAGCGCAGCGAGGCTGCAGTGACGCGCTGGGCGCGCGCTCCTAGCCGGGCACCCACACCTGTAGCACGCAAGGAGAGGGGTGCCCTGTGGCTTCTGTGTCTATTTTATGCCTCCGAGTTGGGGGAGGGAAAGGGAAGGGGTGGGTGGGTGGGTGGGCAGGGTAGTTTTCCCCTCTCGTTTTTGGTGCCCTGGAGCCCCACTGCTGATGACGAACTGTCTCTAACTGGTCTTCACCACGAGCTGATTCCGAATTGCTGGGGACTCACAGCAGCGCCTAAAGCGCCAGAGGGGAAGTGCTCTGAGTTTCCCAGAGGAAACCACCTTAAAGAGGGTGGGAGAGGGAGGTGGGGGGCTGTTTCAGTCCACCTTGAGGGGCGTTGGCGACGTTCACAGCGCCCCAGGGCGAGAGAAGAGGTTGAGATTCCAGGGGACGGGGTTTGGGTGGTGGAGTCTGGGGGAAGGGAGATAGAGGGAGAACCTGGGGACCCCCAGTGAGGGGGCTCCTGAGCAGAGCTGCCGATTGCGGAGGGGGAAGGGGATCTCCTGGTTCGAAGGCTCTTCCATAAGTGTTCGGATGGACATATTCTCTGAATATAAACTTCTTTTACGTTACCACAATAAAGGCTTTAAGTAAACCTCTTTCTGGTTGCCTTTGGTCCCCTGATTTTCTCTTCCCTCCGAATAGCAGCAAGAATTAAGCACAGATTTCTGCCTTGAGTCCCCATAGTGACCCTGACGGGAGGGAAGGAGCTTGGCTGTCAGGGTGTAGTAGAGGGAGAGGTCTCCGTTGCCCCCGCGCTAGTGAACAACCACGCACACCGGGCGGGGGCGGGGAGAGCGAGGTGGTGGGACATCGGGGCCCTGGGGAGGAAGGCGGAAGGGGTGGGGGGAGCCGCCGGAGAGGGTTCTCCCGTGCACCGCGCGCGCGCGCACCCGCGCGCCCACAGCGGTAGCTGTCCGGCGCCGCCCGTCTAACTTCCAGCGACCTGGGCGAGGCGGGCGGGGCACGCCAGGCCTGGTTGGGCTCTTCTGCCGCCACAGTCTCGGCGCACCTAGCTGCCCCCTACCCTCGGCGCGCACCTGCGAAGCCGTCTCGATCCCTAGCCTCACCAGAGTCCGCGTGAGACGCGCGCGGCTGCTAGAGGGAGGGGCCAGGAAGGGAACGCAGGAGGACCTGGGAACTCAGGCTGCGGAGCCAAGGATGACAACCGCCGCCCAGGGCGCCCCGCCCCCGCCCCCGCCCCTCCTGCGGGTTCCCGGGCTCGAGCCCCGCCTCCCCACCGCCCCCAGAAGCTCCAGGCTGAGAGGCGGGGCCGGGGGGCGATCTCTGGCGCGGGGGTGGGGTGGGTGGGTTTTGGGCACCGCCTCCCGCCCTGCATTCGCGTCCAGGAGCCCCCGCGTAATCCTGGTCCTCACCCCACCCCCGCCCCGCCCCCAGGGTGTGGGCCACTCCGGGAGCACCGGCGTCTCCCGGCCTCGTTATCACTCTGCTAGTGATACCTGGAGCGGAAAAGCGCGGGGAGCTAGAGCAGGGGCGCGGAGGGCCGAGTCCGCGCGTCTCAGAAGGGGGGCAGGGATGCCGAGCATCCTGGAGCATGTCCCCGGTCAGCTTCAGGAGCCCCGGGTTGTCCCGGGGCGGGTGTCAGTGCGCCTGGTGCCGACGCGAGGCCGTGGGGGTTCTGCGTGGGCGAGAGGCGCGGCCCGGGGGCAGCGGAGGCCGTGCTCCGCCAGCGCCCCCAGCTCCGCGCCAGCCCCCGCTCTGCTGCTCCAGAAACTTTTGGAACTGACACCCCGAGGTTGGGTTTCGGATTTTTTATTGTTGACTTGTCTTGTTTTATTATTTTATTTATTTATTTATTTTGCTTTCAAAGTAAACTGAAAATAACTTTTAAGGGAGAGCGGATAATCTTTCGGCAGCTTCCCCACCCCATCGCTTCCTTTTTGCCTGAAAACCCCCTCCGGAGGCGGCTGACCCGAGCTCCCGAGCTGGCCCGGCGGGGGCTCGTGGGGCGGAGCGCGCGACGGCTGGACCCCAGCGGCCTCCGGCTGCAGAGCCGGCGTCCCAGGCCCCTCGGGCTCCCCCGTCCGACGCTTGGAGCGCGCGCCGCGGCGCCCAAAGCTGCAGCGACTGGGCTGGGCTCCTGTGCTCCAGGCTCCAGCCAGTGCTCCCTGGGGAGTCCGCCATCCCCACCCCCTACCCGCGGCCCAGCTGCCTTTTATCTTCTCCCTTCCCCCCTTTCTTCCCTCCACCTTTCCCTTTTGTGCCTCCTTTGCCCCATTTCTTCTTCTCTTTTCCTCTTTCTCTCCTTTCCGTTAATCTCTCAAAAAAGTAATGCGCGCTCGTTGCGGAAACCACGCGAAAGCCAGGCGAGGAAGGTCAAACCAAGGCCTCGGACGTCACTTTCAGCCGTGCCCCATACTTGCTTTTGATGCGTAGTTTACAGAGGAGAGCGGCTCACCCATCTGCTTGGTATCCTGCCGTCCACTTTGATTCTGCCAGCACCCCCCTGTGCACCCCTCTTTTCATGCACCCCCTTTCCACTTGCCCTTCTTTCCGTGTCAATAAATAAGATTTAAATGGTCCAGTCCCGAATCGTGGTAAGGACGGCGATGATTCAGTTCACCGAGCTGCTCTGACTACACCTGTCGGGACGTTTGGGCGCGCGGCGCTGAGCCCCTTCGACCTCCGCGAATACGCTTCCTTAGGTGGAGGTGCTAGGCCACAACCCATGCGAGGCTGTTCAGGGGTCTGTTTTGCTGAATTGCCTTCCAGAAAGACCGTTTGGTTCTCATTGTTTTCTGTTTTTCCAGCGCTCTCTCTCCCCCGAGTGTTTCCAAGAGAAAAATACAACAATGTGAACGGTTCCATTCCCAGAGTTAAGAGTTCAATGCAGAGGAGCAGAGCCAGAAGCCCCGCTTGGCCTGAACAGGAGACTCCCAGCTGCCCACCCGGCAGCAGCGGTGAGTCAGGAAACCAATGGGCCAGGCCCAGGGGAGCGTTGTTGAAGTTCTGAAATAGAATGGGATAAAATTTAAAGTATCAGCATACATTTCGAGTCGATTTTCCATCCCAAGTCATAGTGACCCCTGTTGGGTTTCCAAGGAGGTATCTCTATGGAAGTAGATTGTGCAACCGTCCTTCCTGGAGTGGCTGGTTAGCAGTCAAATGCCTTAGGCACTAAGGCACCAGAGCTCCCACATTTCACCTAGGGTAACCATAAACCAAACAGGAAGAAGGAAGAGACTACCTCTGCCGCTGGGTTGATTCTGACTGGTGGAGACCCCTGTGTTTCAGAGCAGACATTTCCATAGGGCTTTCTTGGTTGTAACATTTACTAAGCAGATCACCAGGTCTTTTTTTCCTGGTGTCTCTGGGTGAGTTCCAACAGCCACCTTTTCCGTGGGGAGGGGGCACTACCCAGGGCCCGTCAGGTGTGTATCATGTGGATCAGCTGCCTGTTGGGAGATGTGGACCTCCTGAGAGATCAAAAACCATCCGGGCATTGAGAGTTGCCACCAGAGTGTCACCTCGCCTCTGCTCATCCTGGTACCAGCCCTGTTAACCACTGGGAGGATTTCCTTTCAGACTCTAATGCCAACATGGATGAACACAGTTACAAATGTGTTTTCCCATGAGGCAGATCATGCTGCACACACTCTCTCCCACACACTCTCTCTTCACATGCTGTTCCCTGTCCTGGTACACTTTTCCCATCAGTCCATCTAGTCCGGGCAGATCCGCACTGTGTGCTGACTTGTATCCAGCACCTGTATGATGTCCGAGGAGCTCCTACGAAGAGGTGCTAGTCTCTGGCCTCAAGCAGTGTTCAGATCTGTGGGGAGAAGCGGGATGACACAGCCATCATTCTTATTGTTACCATCATCACCACCATCAGTGTTGTTTCTGAGGGCTATGGTGGGCTGGAATCCCTGGATGGCGCAACAGGTTAACGAACTCAATGGTAATCAAAAGGTCGGGGGCTCAAGTCCAACCAGAGGCACCCCAGAAGGAAAGCCATGCCGTCTGCTTCCGAAGACCCCACCACTGAAGATCCGGGGGTCCAGCTCTGCTCTGACACACATGGATCTCCATGAATTGGAATTGACTCCATGGCAACCAGAATGTGGGCTGACCACAGGGAGGAATCAGTTGAGCATGGAGTAGGATGGGGAAGGGGACATTAGAAGACCTCGCAGAGAAGGTCTTATTTCACTCTTGTTATGGATTGAATTGTGTCCTCTAAAAAGATACATTGAAGTCCTAACCCCAGGACCTATAACTATGACCCTTTTTGTTACGTTATTGACATCACGCCAGAGCCCGGTGGGTCCCGAACCTTATCATTTCCGAATGACAGAAAGAGAAGAACAGATGACAGGCACACACGAGGGGAAGAGGAAGACAGATGACTGAGGCCGATGCATCTGCAAGCCCAGGGAGGCCAGACATAGCTGTGGGAAGCTGCTGGGGACAGAAGGGGTTTAGTGGACAAATTCTCACCTTCCATGAGGGAGACCTGGGTTCAATTTCTGGCCAATGGACCTCATGCCCAGCCCCCACCCGTCTGTCCGTGGAGGCCTGTGTGTTGCTGGGATG